AGCCATGCCAAATGGGAGGACCTCGTCGCTCAGGTGCAGCGAGCTACTGATCGCCGCCCAGATCCCATCACCAACGCCCAAGAGCTCGAACACCGAGTCTCATAGGTCACCGTCATCGTCGAAGCGGCCATCGAGGAGCACGTGCCCACCCGGATCTAAACACCGGGGCCCGCAGGACTTCCGCCCGACATTATGCATCTGGTCCGGGAGAAACGGAGGCTCTACCGCACTCTGAAGCGCACCACCTGGAACCGGCTGGTCGCCATCACCAGGAGAAAGATCCTGGAGCACCGAGAAAAGGAGTGGCGAAACATCACGGCGACACTTGATTACAGAGACGGGAGGAAATTTTGGAATCTACTTAAACGTCTTACTGGCAGGAAAGCAACGCCTAAATACCCGCTGCAAGCGGGTATCAAACCACTAACGGACGCGGAGAAGTCCGAGGTCCTCGCTAACGCCCTGCTGGAAAGCAGCCGGCTGGAAGATCAGCTGATCGACGAGCCCTTCCATGAGGCCGTCACGGACGAAGTCGTCAACTTACAACTCCCAGACTCCCGCCCACCAGTCAACGCCCCCTTCACTGCTGAAGAGATCGCAGAGACCATTGCCTGCCAAAAAAAGAACATCAGCGGTTTTGAGGATAATGGCTTTGAAAGAACTGACAGAATAGCTGATCATGCACAGTGGAAATTTCCTGTATCATACACTTTTACTCAGGGAACAACTATATCAACAATAAAAGTGAAATTTATTAAGAAAATTATAAGTAGGCTGACAGATATAGGATTCATAGTTTTCGCACTTGTGTGTGATCAAGAAGCAACAAATTGCGCAGCAATTAAAATTCTATTAAATGATTCGAGAAAATTGTACATACAAGAAAATAAGGAACCAAATGAAAATGTAATTAGAATTGGTGAATCGTAAATTATTCCATTATTTGACATTTGCCATCTCATAAAATATATGAGAAACAATTTATTAAAAATTTGAAATTTAATGTGGAAGGAGGGAATTACATTGCCAGTTGGGAAGATATCCAAACTGCATATTTCGTAGATCCACCAAAGAGGATAACAAGATTAATGCATAAAAATACTTCAAGGCATGTATTTCCGAAAAAAATACCAAAGATGAAAGTATCAAACGCAGTGCAAGTATTTAGTAGATCAGATCAAATTATGATTTCTGGTAATGTATCTTGTCCAAATGGACACTTTCCTGCAAATTCAATTGTTTGACTGTTTGAATCTAGGTTTATTAAAAGATATTATTAAAATATGTTGAAAGCAGTTACTATGAAATCAAAACATTTGCAACAATGGCACGAAGCCAAAGAAGCTGTGAATAGAATGAAATTTATAAACCAAATAACTAAACAGCCGCCTGTACTAGGAAATCTCATCCTTCCTGGACACAATCAATTTAAAATTCCTACCTTTACACACATAAATTGCAATCAACTATGTAAAATTCAATTAACATATTTTTTTTATATACTAACTAATAACAATGTAATGGCACAAAGAGCTTAAGCTCACAAAAGGCCACAAATCAAATAACCAACAAATCAAGACAAACATATACAATAAAGAAATTTAAAATGGAATGGAATCACATCCATCCAGGACAGTCAACCATCCTGATGGATGTGATTAACTATCTCCTCTCAATCCAAACAACAGAGTCAACCCAGACGTTTCATCGAAAGAAAAGCAACGTACTCCTGCGTCCTCAAGGGAGTTCACCGACGACGATGCCTTGGAGCGCAACCAACAAACTACGCTGGTCAGAGTACTCTCCACCTCCGAAAAGGTCATCGCAGAGTTGATAATGAGAGACATAAAAATGTTGGGAGAAGTTCTTCGCGCAGTAGCATCTCACCCTCCACCAGATCAACCCCTTCAATGCAGTCGGTGCCTGAACTTCCACGGATCTTCCACTACATGCGTTAGGAAACTCACCTGTGGCTTGTACTCCGGTGAGCACCCTACGAATAAATGCAAACAAGACTGGAAAACTCCGGTAAAATGCGTCAACTGCAATGACAACCATGTAGATTTCAGATACAGCTGCCCAAAGAGACCAAAGTATCCTCTAGCTCCAAAAGTGATTGCTCACAACAGAAACATTGATCCTCCCTCTAACCCAATTCAAGTACAATACATTATTCGATGCGTAATCCGATCCTTCTTCCTCTCTTTCCTCCCCGCCGTGAATGTTAGACACTATTAACAATGTGCGAGCATAAATGTGCGAGGATGGCAGAACAGAAAATATGTCACAAACAATCTTATTTCCACAGTAAAGATCGGCATCCTAGCACTCCAAGAGACCTTAAGCACAGAACATAAACAAGTGAAAGTGCCCAGCTTCCACGTCTACTATAAACATGATACAAACAATTCAGGAGTCGTGGCCATAGCCATCCACCAGAACATCCCATCCCGACCGCTAGAACTCGAGCAAACGCTGTTCCTTCCTAACGTGGTCGCGGCCACTGTTATATGACTTGGAAGAACAATTGACGTTTATAGTGTTTACATTTGACATTCGTTATTCCAGTGCCTTATTTCGAAATTGCCTATGCGCCTGCGATTGCGGATCAGCTGCCTGAGGGTAGCTCATTCCACCATGGGCCATCTTTGATGAGGTACTACTTGACTTCTTTCCGTCCAGTTGTGGCCATGCTTGGCATCATCTATAGCTGTCTGGATGTGCTCCTCCGCAGTAAGCGCACTTTGCCTTCGGCTTGAGGCTTTTCTTGCAATCCGCGGTGGCGTGGTCTTTGTCACATTTTACATACTTAGGGTTAACGCGGCATCCTCTTTATGCGTGGCCCCACTTCTGGCATTGGCCTATCGCTTTCTTCTTGTGAAGAGCTTTCGGAGTGACGTGCATCCCACAGAAGCCTCTGATGTCAAATACTCATTGTGAATTTCAACTATGGCTATGTCTAGTGGTTGCTTGTACGAAGTCATGCGGCTGACTTTGAGGGCCTCTGGTAAGGAGCTCTTCCTTGACCTCGTCAAGTACAACTTCTCTGTCCACTCCACGTAGGACTAGCTTTACAGTCTAGGTTCTCTCAAGGGTGAAAGTGTGGTATTGTAACTTCTACGCATCCAGGAATTTGATGATGCCACGAAAGTCGTCGGTGCCACATTCGCAAGACATCAAGGCATAGAAGCTCGCGCTTGTCGTGGGCTTGGGAAAGGTGACTAAAAAGTGCTGTGTGCACTTGTTCTTGGGCTGGCGGCATGATTGCCTGCAGTTATATTCTCGGTGGAAACTAAATATTAAATAAATCTTAAAGCTAATAACCTTGCTTGGTTCGCTGGACAATTATTTCTTTCTTTCTTTTTATCATAAATTTCCAGAATTGTGCACGATTTGTTGAATAATCTGTTATTTGTGTTTTACTTCTGTTTTACTTAAATATATGAAGGGATTGCTGTTATTTCGAAAGTAGTTGTTTGAGTGTTATTTAATTCCATAATGTAAATTATTAGATCTTGTTGCTTGTTCTATGTACATTTTGTTGTAGCAGATCTATTTGTACATCTAGGAAATCATTATGTAAAAGGACGACATAACAAAATAATTGCATTTATAAAAATTCCATAAAATTTCATTCTTCATTTTTTTTTTAATTTTTGAGAAGTTCAAATCCATTTCTGTTTTCAGAGTTATTTAATTTACTTCTATAGTGATGTCGTTTATAGCCGTCTTCGAAAATTTTTCATGTTTTTAGCCTCATTTACCGAAATGGAAGGTTTGGCCTCTCTGTTCTTATTTGTTTTAAAAAATCCGCTTCAATACGTCGCATGTTATTTTATATATTTGTGTTTTGTAATTGATTTATTTTTTAATGTTGCATTTTTATTTGAGCTGCCTTTTTTTATTGAATTTACAGATTATTTTTTTAATTTTATTTCATTTCTATGTTTTATTTATTAATATAGTCTCGTGTTATTTTGTTTGTTTCGTTTATTTTTGTTTATGTTCTCTTTCGTTATTCTATGTTAGATAATATAGATTTTGTTCTTCTCGATGTAAATCTTCTATATTAAGGACCCACAGCAACCCACATATGTGAATATCTTGGGATTTCTTCGATTTTAAATCGACCACGTTTATTTTTTTAAGATTCTTTGATCGAGTCATGTTAATAACATCTTAAGAAAATACGTTCAACCCGGAAATATGGATTCCCTTAAATTTCTTCGATTTTAAATCGACCTCGACAAATTCGAGGTTAAGATTCTTTGTTCGAGCCATTTTGTCGTCTTAAGAAAATACTGTTAATTTCCGTTTCTATGTAGCATGGTTGGATCGTTTTCATCATCATAGCCCACCCGGAAATGTGGATGCCTTAAGATTTCTTTGATTTTAAACTGCCACATTTTTTTTGAGGTTAGGATTATTTGTTCTTGGAAAAATGTATCCTATGCCTTTCACGTTCTTTTCTGATTTTCTTCGTATTAGCATCGTCACCTATATTTTGTTGTATTGTTGGATGTTATAATTGATAAGACTTGATAACGCTAAATTGTAATAAATGTTGTGTGTTATACTGGTTCACTCTTCAACTTCTTTATTCGTTCTGGTGGTTCTCGCTACTCCTCGTTATTTCTATGCTTGAATTTTGCAAGTGTGGTTGCATACATACACATCTTTTGCAGCTCTAAGAAACAGTCATAGAAAATCAAGTATGAGATCAGTTTTCTTTTGTCGAGTCCATAACAAATGAATCTAAAAAAATTCGATCACAAAATTCTATTCTGTTTGAATATTGTATGTAAGTGTGGTTGCATACATCGACATCTTTGCAGCTTTAAGAAGCAGTCATAGAAAATAAATTATGAGATCATAGTTTTCTTTTGTCGAGTCCATAACAAATGAATTTCAGATCACAAGATGCATTTGATAAAAATAGTGACGACATATATTTTGAATAAAAATTAAATTATTTGTTTCGGGTAAAATTAGCAAAAATATCTGTTTAGTACGGTTTATTTGACTCATCTCAACATTTCTTTTAGATAGCGGTCTTAGCACATTTCACAACAATTATTGCAGCAATATCAAAACAGGAAACACCATCTTCATTGTAGATCACGACCATCCAGAAGGCGAGATAATTGGAAATGGAGTTCAGCTCCAAAGAATTTCAAATAGATGAATATTCGAAATAGAATAGACAAACTCCTAGGATATTAAGAATTTTGATAACGTCGACATGACGAGACTCCGCAATACAATCAGCAAGACTACCGGCTCATTTCCTCAAAAGATAGGGGAGTTCAAAAAGCTAGCCGACTAGTACAAGTCATCTAGAAATGCAATTTTCGGCATATTAACATTCAACTTTCAGATTTGCGATCTGGTGGAAACCCTTCTGTAGGGTGTGAAACCCCTGGGAAACGCTACCAATCCTGCTTATTGAGTATCTCACTACAACACAAAAGAATTAGACATCCAGATGAACCAAACACTAAATAATATAGAACCACTACCTAAGTCGCAGAAACCTGCACATCATCCTCTACAGAACTAAAGCCATGCTCATCACAAGAATATGTGATCCATGTTAACTGTCTGAGATGCACTCATTGAAATGGTGAACCACTACAAATTCCTGGTAGTGTGATTTTATAGACCATCATGGACCTGCAAAAAATATAATAATATGAATTGGAGGAAAATATGGAGAATTATGCCCACTCACAATGTCTATATAATTCTTCTCTAACACAAACTGATGGCTCAAAGAAAGATAATCCAAGTTCAATCAAATATGCCATGTACATCTCAGCACGAGAATATATCAAGTCCAAGAAAATATCCTCAGAAGTATAACAGGAGAACTCTTTTCAATCCATTGCACCCTATGTACTGCACAGTAATTCGGTGATTGACTCACGAACTCCAAACTTGCCAAAACACCAACTTAGTCCAATGTACATGAGCCAGGGATACATAAACCACTTCATATTTGAATGCTTACTTAATGCAGAGGAATTGCTTAAAAATTCAAAGAACTAATCAAATGTGAACAAACCAACTACCAACAAACCTACAGACTGATGGCAACGGGTGATGATCATATGAAGCATCTTATTGAAATACATAAAGAAAATCATCACATCACTATAGACAACACCATGATATAAATAGACTCAAAAGTAATTCCATTTTCTCCTCCCTTTGTGAATGATATTCTTGGTGTCCGTACTGTCAGATTGACAATCATTAAATAACAGTAAACAAAGACAAACATCACAAAATCACTAATATTATGCATTATATCATTTCATGACTTATTGAATTATTACCAAAGATAAACATCTCTTCTGAATAGTACATATTTCAATATTTTATTTTCTTAACCTCAATTTTTATTTACATCCCAATCCTTTTATTTGCAGTCTTGGTAATATTGGATGAAGTTTGTTTCATGAGATTGCACAGAATATGGTATACATAAGGACTTGTAATAATGATAAACATGCATCAGACACAAAATGAAAATTAATAACTTGAGGATCTGGTAAAAAAAAAGTTTGATCACTACCAAGAGCACCAAGAGAACCAAGTCATCTGTCACTGCAGTGCATGCGGTGGCGTTCCTTAGTACATCGGCAGCACATATCGCGGCGCCACAAGTACCAACAAATATTAGCGCCAAATAATTTGAAATTAAAAACAATAAAAAAACTTTCGCATACATTTTGCCTATATTTCTTTATCCTTTCAAATAGTTTTTATTGCTTTAACGTTTTCGTACTATTTACATTTGGAATCAAGACTGCTTGACTACTTTTAACAGAGTTTAATTATTATTAAACTTATTAGTCTTTCTTAAGACTTGTATTACTAGCGATTAGTCTATTAATTCGTGAGTATTGTTAAATTAGTAAGATGACGATAAAATTCTTGTTAGATTTTCTTTTAGCTCTTCATTCCCAAGGTTATGTAAGTGCCATTGGATATATTTAATTTATTTTAGCTTGCCAGTCTGATTGAAGGAACATTTGTGAGTACTATAAGGAGGGATAAATTTAACTAATTTGTTTTAGACTATTTACAATTTTATTTAGGATTAAAATAAGTTGAACTACAAGTAAACTCCAGTAAGTGTATATTTAAATTGTATTGCACAATAGTAAACAAATATAACTATTCAGAAATGACATACACTTGTCCAGTTCCGGGATGTATATCCAAAAATCCATACATTGTACTGAAAATATTGCACCTCTCCAATATGCTTCAGATCACTTTCCGTTTTCCGTTAGCTATTACAGGGGTTGAATTGAATAGGCCAACAAAATATCCTTTTTTTTGTGTAGGTTCGATACCAACTACCCAAGTACTTGTTGTGAAAACCTTATTTGATTTATTATTTTATTTCTTCTGCAAATTGGAGAAATTAATTAATAGAATCGTATGAAATATCTAAACATTAGGTATCAATCAGGTAAAAACGAATGTAAGGGTAAGAATATATTAGTAATTTTTATTTTTTTTTAATACACTATTTTTAGATTTATTGAGTTGTGGACTGTTACAAAATATTTAATAATAGATACTAATATTTTTCAATTTTCAGAAAATAGAAATCTTGTGAATCGTATCATCATAATAATTTGCTATTTTGTAATCGAGAGATTAATACAGCAATATTTCAAAATCTAAGTAGTAATCTAATGGTAGTATTATGCAATACAAAATTTGCATTACCATTTTTTTTTGTTCAATTCATTTGAACTACGAAATTAATATAAATATTTTTTATTTATTAAAATTTAAAAAAAATAAGTAAAATTTCCTTACCTGCTTTGTTAATATATTTCAAATTTACTACGGAAATGACAAATTCTCATAAACATTTTAATTTATTTAAATAAAAATAAAAGAAACTCATTATTGATAATTCCTACGATAAAATAAAAAGGATTACAGTAGGATAAATATTTCGATTTATAAATAAAACAAATAAGTGGAATGTACTCACTCGATATTTTCTCATATTTGCTGTCAGTTCAAGAAACAAGACAAATGACAAGAAATATTTTGATTTTGAAACAAACGAAAAACAAAAAGGTGAAATCATAGAAACGAAAATCAAACTAACATAATATTTGTCAATTATAAATAAATTAAATTTATTTTAATGTCGTTCGTTTTCATATGCGCAGTTAGCACCGGAAAAAAAAATAGATAAAGTTGATCTCTATAGTAAAAGAAAATAAATTTCAACGATTTTAAAATTAAACTAATCGTACATTTACTTTCAAATTATACCCAAAAAAATGTAATTAATTAAACACGAAAACTTCAGTTTTTATTTTTATAATAAATAATAATAAATTATGTCTTTCTACAACATAATTTTGCTTACTAAGTGACATTCAGTAAGGGAGTAAGGAAATAAAAGAAAAGTTGTGTAATAAGAATTGGTGCATCTATCTACACACATATTTTAAAAATTATGTTGCTTCTTCCACTTCAATATAATATAATAACATTAGATATTTTCATAGAAAAAATTGTAAAATTAAAAAAAATAACTTTAGTACTACCGAGGGAGTAATTGTTCAATATAGACTTTTTACGTAGTTTGTGCAAAAATTTGAATGTTGACTCAAACAAAAATCTATTCTTTTTATATGCAAAATTTTGTAGTTAATAGCTTTGGAATAAATTTTTATTATATTCCGTAATATAAGAAGGGTAATAAAAAAAGGGTCTTACACTAAATTAGAGCACCTCCCTGCACAAACATTTTCAAAATTATGTTGTTTCATTAACATTTTTATCAAAAATTCGAAACCAAATTCATATTTTGTACATATTTCAGCTAAAATTCAATAAAGAAAATGTAAAATAATATTCCTCCTAATTAAAAAAAAAACTATATTTGAAAATTTAAAAGTAGTTATAATTAAAAAAAAAATCTAAAATTAAAAATATATAAATTGTTCAACCAATTTCTACAAAATTTAATAAATATCGTCTGAAACTATTAATTAACCTGAAAATTCTCACCAACCTCATTTTTAGATATCAACAACTTCATCAAAATTTAGTATTAAACGTGACTTTTTTCATTACCTAACAAAATCACACAGGCATGTAAAGAATTCTTAAAATTTCATAATTGAAATAATCCTAGATAAATATGGATTATATTAATTGTTATTAGAGAAAATCGGTTTTCGAACTATTCCTATCAATCTAATTAAAATATTGTAACAAATTCAAACTCAACTTGTTAAATAAATTGATGTGATTGGACTAAAAAATTGAGAAGAAAACGTAACATTCATTAAAAAATGTATATATATATACGCTTTTTATTCAAACAAATAAAATTTAAACTTGCATAAAAAATAAAAAGCGAAATTGATTCGTTGAAATTCTACAATTTCTTCATTTTTATCCATTCCGCCTTAATTGCTTCGCATCTCTTTCCAATCACAAATCTAACGTCCTCCCTGAACACGTTGCATTTATTAATGATAAGTGTACAGATGTCCTCGATCGGGGGCTTTGGGAATTTAAGTCTTTTCTTGTTCCGTCCGGTCAGAGTGTGCGTGGCCAAGATTTTTTCATCGAAGACGTCGTGCAAGATCGCCAAGGTCGCCGCCTTGTAGTCGCTCCAATCTATTCTATACATGCACTCCACCGAAATCGTCGTCTTATATTTTCCTAATTGGTAAACCTTATTCCCGTGTTTATCCTCCGACTTTAGTGGATAAATGGTGAACGTACTGAACGTGTTCGACTCCAATTTTGATATCCTATCCGCTCTCCTTTCTTCAAGTGTCTTCAGATTAACACTCGTTGACCTGTACAAATTTTTGTCGCGCATCTGCCTAAGCGTTCCGTGAAAATCATTCGACAAGTCGTCCAAGATATTGCTCAGAACAGTTTTGTCCTCTGAAATTTTTCGAAGCAAATATAGTAAAAATTCATTAATAACACTATAATAATTACCCGACGTAAACATTATCGTGCATATGCGTGGCTCATCGGAAAATTGAAAGAAGAAGCGATCGTCGTCCACAATCTTACTCTTGCCAACGATGTCGCTGCACGTAACAATGTTAAAATGCCTACCAGATTCATCCGTGTAATACACCAACATTGAATTGGCATTACACGGCTTAAGGCTGGTGAACTCGACATCTCTATCGTCTATATTGAAAAATGTAGATTCTAGAATAAAGAAAAATTAAAAGAAAGAAAAATTAAAAGAAAAAAAAATAATGAAAAATTTTCTTACCCATTTTTGTTTTTTCTTTAAATTAATAACTTATACAATAAAAATATTAAAATTGTAATTAATAAAATGTAAACTATCTTAAATAGAATAGAAACTAAACTTTTTTTTTATTTAAAAGTTAATAATTAGGAAGTATTCTTCCCTCGACACTCCAACTATGTCTATGTTCTTCCTTCGTCTCACCAACTAAGACTAACTTTGTATTACATAAACATCCTTCTTATAGTAGGGAATTAATATAGTGGAAGTAAGGGAAAATAGTACTTTTCTAAAGATTGAATTTGGACGATTGTACTTATCTTTCCCTAATCATTATGTATTTAGGATGATGTACTAATATATATATATATATTTGTATTCATTATCGAATGGTCCTTCGAATTTGTACAACGATGGTCCTTACATGGTGATTAACAATAGTCATTAAGAATAGTCATTACACATTGATTATTTACAAATATAAATAATACACAGTTCATGAAATAAACAATATTGGATAATAGTGTTTGGCCACAACAATATTCCATTATACTTGGTCAATTATTTGTGTGCAAACGTATATTTGTTACGTATAATGTATATTAATATCGATGGTGTTGATATATACTTAGTTATTTCCAAATCACAATCACTATTTGTAGTGTACGAAATGTAGCAAAAATAAAACTAGTTTTATTTTATCAAAATTTCACAAAATATGTTTATAAATTTCAATACTTTTGATATTAAAAATTTATTAACACATAGGTACATGTATAATGTTGATTATTTGAATAATTTATACAAATTTTTATACTTTTAGCGAAAAAATGTAATCCATTAATTGTTGTTTTCAAATTTTCTTTTCAGAAAGCCGATTAAAATTATAAATGCTAAAATACTGTTCGAGGTGAAAAAAAAAAAGAAAATATGTTAGAACTTATATTTACCGAGTATTGAAATGTAATGTAGTTCACAATATACAGATATATATCTATACAAATTTTGTTTGTAAAAGACCCAATGTAAAAAATATGTATATATGATATGATATATCACTGATAAAGAAAAGAGTTTAGTCCGTGTGCGTGAGGTCAAAAAAGTTGGCTTCAACAACAGAGACAATAATAACAAATGGAAGTACAGTCACACCTACCACAACTCCTACAACAGAAACCAGCACAACATAAACAACAATAAACAAACAAATTAGAGAACAACCCATCCAAAAGCACGCAACACTTATTAACAATCCATATTCAGTTTTAGCCTGTAC